TAAATTTTTCCAACTAAAAACAGAAGATCCATCAAAACATTCTTTATACAAGTGAAGATATCCCAAAGGCATAGTATCAAATTTCAAAATCAAATCTTGTACACAATTTGAACATTATTTAATGTGTTCAGTCTTCTTTTGCTTTAAAAAATAAGTTGGAATGTCATTCTGTTTCCAAGTATTGTCAGTAACTGCAACTTGCTAAACACTTCAAAGCTGAAGTTTTGGGCACTTCATTTAGTGATTATTTTGATTCAGTATTTCCAAGAAATTTTGACTTGCAAATAAGTTTAATAATGAATTGTGACGGATTCATTTACAAAGAAATTAAGGGCTCAAGCATTTTGAAATTTGATTAATAATGAGTAGCAAAGAAAGTAGCCACTTCTGTACTAAATCTGAATTGTTTTTTATTTTAAAACCAAGTGTAAAAAATTATATAGTTCAGTTACACTGTATGTGCAAAACATTTATAAAATTTGACAATGACTTCTATTTTAGTTGTTAGATTACCACAGCTCTTTTAGGATACAATTATGAATTTTGTATGTGCCACAACCAATTATGAACACAATTCTTTATGCGTTTCTTAATTTAGTGGAATATTGTTTTTATAGTAAGTGCTTTACCAAAATTATTATTTATTTTATTACTATATAAGACAATTTTATCTTCAATATTGAACTTTTAAACTAAATTTATAATGGCTTTAATAATAGTGTCAGATGTTTTATCTTAACACCCAAACAGACACACCCAGAAATAATGTTTAACTCTATGCTGTGGCCCCACAAGTTGACACACAAAATTAACCATCATACCATCTTTGTCATTCTAAACACATATGCCAATGTCATTTCCCTTAAGAGCACAACCAGACAAAAATGTTCACCATCAAGTTTATTAATCAACAATATTTTGGAGGTTTCAGTGAATGCAACAGGAAAAATTAAATGAAATAATTTGTAAAAGCACAGAGATAGAAAATTATATAGTGGTGATGACATTGCTGTGTATCTAGAAAATCCCAAAATTGCAATTTGAAGGTAATAAAATTAAAAAGAAAATTTGATAATTTCATCAGTTGCTTACATAAATATATATTTAAAAATGAATAAGTTTTTTCTTTACTGGTAATAAACAGTAGAAATAGAAATGGAAAAAAACAAACTCACATAAAACAGATAATAGTAAAGAATCAAGTTAAAAAGAAAAATAGAAGTCCTCTATGTTTAAAAAATACTTATATCAACTTATTAAAGGGCCCAAAGGCAATGTAAATAACTGATTACATTTTGGGTTAGGAAATCTTAATATTATGAAACATCATGCCTCTGGAAAAAATAATTCAATGAAAAAATGTTAACAGCTTCATGGAAGTCTATTGAAATAAAATAACCTGTACATACAGTTTATTTACAATTGACATATATACAACACACCTGTTAAACCATGACTGCAATTAAGATAATGAATATATCATCACCCTCAAAAGTATCCCCTTCCCCTTGGCAATCCCTCCCTCCCACCTCTCTCTGCCTTCTCCTCATTTCTAGGCAAGAACTCATCTACTTTCTGTCAGTATAGATCAGTTTGCATTTTCTTGAAATTTATGTAAATGGAATCATAATATCTTCTTTTTGTCTGGCCTCTTTTATTTAACATAATTATTTTGAGATTCATCTATTTGTTGCATGTACCACTAGCTCATTTCTATTCATTGCTAAGTATTCCATTACATGGATATACCACAATTTGTTTATCTATTCACCTGTTCATAGATATTAAGGTTAATTTGAGATTTTGGCTATTACAAACAGAGCTGTTGTGAACATTTGTGTATGAGGCTATGTGTGCTCCTATGTTTTTGTTCCTCTTGGAACTTTAAAGTATACTATACAGAGAAACACAGGAGAAAATCTTTATGATCTTGATTTTAAACTTTTAGGTTTTTCATGTAGGTTTATATTTCATTTTAAATTAATTTTTTTGTATGGTAGAAGGTAGGGATTGACATTTATTTTTCCCCCTGTGGATATCTAATTGTTCCAGCACCATCTGTTAAAAAGACAAGAAAAGTCTGTTTACAACTTTGTCAAAAATAGATTGAATATACATATGTGGATTTATTTCTGTAATGCGAATCTGTTTCCTTAATATTTTTGTCTCTCTTGATGGCAATACTATACTGATTTGATTTTTGTAGCTTTTCTTTACAGTAGTTATCTGAACAAATATCGAATCTCCCATTGCACCAAATGAGAAAAATCTCAACCTACAAACAATTCTTGAAAACATAAATTTAAAAAGGTGCTATCTCAGGAGGCAATAAAATACTACCTGTTAGTGAGAGATCCGCACACAAGCTCTCCCAGCTCATCCAATTCGGTCCCCATTCCATGGTGATGCTCGAGGGCTCCCCGTGTACCTGTCACAACCGTGTGCTCTGCGTGCGCTCCAGGACCCTGCCACCACGGCCGGCCGGTGTGGCCACCCGGCTGTGCCATCCCCAGCACCAGCACCGCCGCTCCAGGTCTGAAACCAGAGGAACCCTGCCAGGGGTCGAAGGAGTGGCGATTGCTCTCCCTGGTGGCGGTGGCACTCAGAACTGCCCCCGTGAGGCCGAGGGGCGCTGCCACACAGGGGGTGGCCCAGAAGGGCTCCCACCCTGACTGCTGCAGCTCTCACAGGCACTGGCTCGAGCCCTGTCTTCTGTGGCTGAGATTAGCCGTTCGAACACACTCCCCCAACTGCCACAGCTGCAGCTTCTCTGTGTCTCTGGGTCTAGACTCAACCTTCAGAGCTAGGAGGAAGAGGAAACCCCTTTTTCTCAGTCCAAGCTATCACCTTCGTTCTTGGCCAATGGAACACTATCCATGTTGATCAACAATGAGAACATCACCTCCCTTCAAAAGAAAACTCCACCCTTACCCATTAAGGTATGTTTTTACAGCAAGGCCCCATTAAAATAATAGAATCACCAAACTTTCTAAATATACTCCCCTTTCTCTGTTGCCTAGGCTGGAGTACAGTGGCATCAACGTCGCTCACTGCAGCCTCCAACTCCTGGGCTCAACTGATCCTCCTGCCTCAGCCTCCTGAGTAGCTGGGACTATAGGCGCGCCACCAGGCCTGACTAATTTTTTCTATTTTCAGTAGAGACAGAGTCTCGCTCTTGCTCAGGCTGGTCTTGAATTCCTTAGCGCAAATGATCCTTCCACCTTGGCCTCCCAGAGTGCTAGGATTACAGGTGTGAGTCACTAAGCCCAGCCTGGCTGTTTCTTATGACTGGTACAATTTACAAATATCTTTGTCTTGACGTAAATAAAGTTTTATTTAATTTTAAAAATATACTAATTTGGCCGGGCGCGGTGGCTCACGCCTGTAATGCTAGCACTCTGGGAGGCCGAGGCGGGTGGATTGCTCAAGGTCAGGAGTTCGAAACCAGCCTGAGCAAGAGCAAGACCCTGTCTCTACCATAAATAGAAAGAAATTAATTGGCCAACTAATATATATATAGAAAAAATTAGCCGGGCATGGTGGCGCATGCCTGTAGTCCCAGCTAGTTGGGAGGCTGAGGCAGCAGGATTGCTTGAGCCCAGGAGTTTGAGGTTGCTGTGAGCTAGGCTGATGCCATGGCACTCACTCTAGCCTGGGCAACAAAGCGAGACTGTCTCAAAAAATAAAATAAAATACTAATTTTTAAAATATGTTAATTTGTTGTAAGAGATCCCTCCCCCACTGAAAATCAGTGATTCAAACTACATAGTGTTTCTTTTTCTCTCATGTAACAGCTCAGAGGTGGACATAGGGTTCAAGATGGGTAGGTGGTTCTGGTTCAGGAAGACAACCAGGGACTGGGGTCTCTTTTGCCTCATTTCTTGCCATCAGTCCTAGAGGACTGTCCTCATATGAATAGTTAATTTGGCTTTACCACTACTATGTCTACTTTCTAGCCTGCAGGAAAATGAAAGACTCAGGGAGTTACTTTTAAAGATGAGACAAAGAATTTGCACATGTCACGTCCACTCTGTTCTGTGAGCCACAAAACTGCAACCAGCTGTAGGAGATGCTGGGCTATGGCCCCTGGCAGGGCGGCCACACAGCAGCGAAAACCCAGAAGAATATTATACAAGTATTCTGGAAACATTTGCAGTCTTTGCCACATAAATAATATTCCCAAATCTAAATTTCTGATATTGTTTATTTTCCTAGGTCATCATGTGAGTGGATTTAAGGAAGGAATCAAAGGAACAGCATTTCTTCCTATTAATGATCATTTATTCAAGCACTGACTTCAATTAGATTGTCAGTAACATTTCTACTTCTCATTGTTTTTTTAGTGAGTTATCAGGTGCTTTTTATTTCTCAATCCAATCCTATTAGGGGAAAGGAAAATATTTGTAATAGAATTTCACATAAGCTTTCAGTATTATGAAGAGGAGGGGATCTTCCTTATAAGCATTTTGTTACATAAAATTGGGTTTCATTCACCCTCTCTTAAGCATGTGCTTGCCTTCCTTTTTCACTGCGATCACTCAAGAAAATCAGTGCAGGGAACATATTGTCACACCTTATTCCCTTCACCAACTGGAAACCTTTCAAGTCACCAGGAATGTGGTAGGAGCAAGGGGTGAGCTGTGAATACAGGACTGTGGCCAGCAGCAGTCACAACAGGATTTCCCACCTGCTTTTCTAGCACAGCAGGTTGTAAAACATTCACTGTTCCTCCTCAAAGCTTGACTGAGAAACCCTGTGTGAAACCAAACAATTGAAAGAAACATTTCTGGGGCCTAAAATGTTTTCTGAACACTACATTCCTTATGAAGAGATGCTGCCTCCCAGATAAGGTAACCTAACAAAATAAAACATTGAAAAATGAGTCAGATAACGTCATTCCTCAGTTCCCAAACTGAACTGGCTCCTTTTTCAAAGTAAAATCAAACTTTAAAATGGCCTAAGGATCCCACACTATCTGCCCCTCCCCCTGCCCAGGCTCATCCTTCTGCTCCTGAGAAGGGCCAGGTGCCCTGACATGGGAACTTCCTCGGGCTCCCCCCTCTTCCTGAATGCTCTTCTCCCAGATGATCTGCCTGGCTAACCTTTTAAACTCCTTCAAAGCTTTGTTCAGGTCACATAGAAAGCAGACACCAACATGGACCTAGGCATATAAGAGATTTATTGGGGGAAACACTTGTGAGGAATAGATGAGCGAGGGAATGGGAGCAGGAGAGAGGCAGATGCCATGCGAACCTGACACCTGTGGAACAGAGAGAGGCGGGAAGGAGGAGCAGGTGGGATGAGCCTCAGATCCCAATGCAGCTCTGAAAAAGTCTTGGCCAGGCTGATGGGAACCCCAGAGACAAGATTTCCCTCCAGAGGTGTCCGATGTTGGGCAAAGATGCTGTGACGTCAGTAGCTCCACACCATGCTTAGTCATTGGCTGGGAGCTGCTGAGAGCGTAGTTTGGGGTCAGGGCTACAGCCGGTCTACTAGGGTAGCTGTTGAAGGTTGCCACTTACTTTCCTTGGAGCAGGTTATCTTGAAGAGAGATCTGCATGGCACAGTTCCACAGTCCAAAGAGCTCTGTCCTAACCTCCCATGTGATACTGCCCGTCACCAACCCAGCACTCCCAATCCTGTTTACCTAGTCTGCTTTTGCTTTGTTCCACAGCCCTTTTTCTCCCATTCATTCATGATCCTAATGAGAAAAACGTAATCCCCAATTTACAATGAATAAACCAAGGTTTAATAAATTTAGAAAGTGCATCTATCCTAGATTATGATTATGCCACAATAATATTTTTGAGCAATTATGTGCGAAACACTGTACTAAGTGCTACCTGTATTATCTCATTTATAATAACTCCCATAGCAACCTTTGAAGTTAGTGGTAGTATTCCTCCTATTGTACAGATGAGGATACTGAGGTGTAGGAAGGGAACACACAGCTATTAAGTGGCAGAATCAGAAGACATGACTTGGACTGACTATAGAGACCAAAATCTTGTCTGCCAGACTGATTTTTAAATTTTCACTGCTGAGTGCCTTCTATGATCTCCATTCCAGGTCGACACATATATCCAACAGGTGACTGGACACCTCCACATGGACGTACCAAAGTACATCTAAATGAACTTACCCAAAACCGACCCCATTCCTTCCCCATATCTGCTCTTGTTCCTGGTTTCCTTACCCGTTAAATAGCTGAACCATTCATCCCCTAATTCTGCCAGATCAAACATCTGAGAGTGGCTGTGCTTATTCTGCCTCACTTCCTTCTTCCTGTACCCAGTTCCATTGATCTGCCTTATATATGTCTGTCCAACGTGTCCATCCTCTCCACCCACACCTCCACAGCCTGTGCTCAGACCACCTTATTTTCTCACCTGGTTTATTGCTAACAGTGTCCTAACTGGTCTTTACCACACCACTCTTGCCCCTTCTTCTCCTCCATTCTTTCACTAACTCTAGACTGATCTTTCTGGGGAAAAAAAATCCGTTGTGTCATTCCCATGCTTAAAATCTTTCATTGCCTCTCCAATGCCTTTGAGAGACCCACAAGGTGCCCTAGCCTACCTGGCTAAACTCGTGTTCTCTAGACACCCGTGTTCTAGCTGTACTGGACCACTAGCACGTCTGGATGCCATACGTTCCTCAGCTTCCCTGACTTATTCGTGTTATTTCTGCTGCCCTTCACCCCCGTTTTTGGTGTAACTTACTCCTGTCCTCAGGGCCTCAGCTCAGGTGCCACCTCCACCAGGGAGATATTTCTCACTTTCCAAGTCTGGGTTAAGTGTCCCCTCTTACATATTCCCATGGCAACCTGTGTCTGCTCATAGGACAATAAACTGCATTGTAATTGGACGTCCTAACAGACCAGGTGTTGGCAAACTTATTATATACAGGGCAAGGCAGTATATATTTTAGGTTTTGCAAGCCTGTAGTCTCTGTCACAACTACTCAATTCTGCTATTATAGTGCAAAAGCAACCACAGAGAATACTATAATGGAAAAGGATGGCTGTGTTCCAAGAAATCTTTATTTATGGATGCTGAAATTGGAATTTTGTATAATTTTCATGTGTTACAAAATATTTTTTAAAGTTTTTTCAACCATTTAAAAATGTAAATGCCATTCTTAGCTTGAAGGCTGTACAAAAACAGGTGGGTGGACCATATATTGCCCGTGGACTGTAGTTTGCCAATCACTATACTACTCCAGGGCAATGTGTCGTCTGACTTTGTATCCACAGTGCTTAGTATAGCATACAGTTTATAGTAGGTGCTTAATAAACACTTGTTGAATAAATACAAATTGCATAGGTCATAGTGAGTGACAGTTTCAGGATTCAATACTATTGAGTCAATTTGCATTGACAGCATGATGTCACATTGCTCACTCTGTGGCTGAAGCTATAAGTCTGTAAGTGTATGAATGTAGTATACTTAGTGCATGATATTCAAGATATTCAAAAAGTAATTCTGGAAACATCGTGGTATTGGGCCTTGATGAACACAGGAAATCTATCATTTCTGTTATTCTATTCAGCTTAGCCTGCCATGTCCCCTTCCCATCAACCCCACTTGACTTCGCCTTATTCACTGTGCTTACAGGTGTTTAAAATAGTCCAAGATTTGGCCATTTCAATTTTTTAAAAAATAAAGCTTCTTCAAGCTGTTTTCAGCTTTGGAATCAGAAATCTCCAAACTTTTTAAGTCACATAAATGCTTAGAGCATCATACTCTGACCTTCAAAAGGCAACCAATTAAAAGAAACCCTGAGAATTGTCAGGTAATTCTTCTTTCTATAGTATTATGCATAGTTGACTCTTTGCTTTCTTTCGTTTTTCAAGTTAGAACATAAAGAACTTAAACAACATAGAACCCCAGCACATGGGCATTCCCTGTGACCTCACCTTTCAATTAGAGCATGGTTACCTAGGTGACTAAATTAATCGCATAAAGAACATCAGAGGCTGAGCTCAGATGGCAACAGGGCAGGTGGATCAAGGAAGGCTGGGAATTCAGGCCAACCCTCACATCTGGTGCAGGCCAGTGACCCCACCATAAGAACAAGGTCAGGAGTTAGTCACTTAAGGGGTGGGCACGTGGGGCCAGGAGATGGGAAAGACCAAAACCAGAGGCCACTCCATTAACTTAAAGAGATTTGTGATCAGTAGCTCCAATTGTTGGAACTGTGCAGTCAGTTAATATATTAGTTATTTCAGAGCTTGAATATGAAACAGTCAAAGGAGAAAAACATAGAACCAGTTAACAGAGAATAGCAAATCAGAGTAGTGTCAAAAGGAAAAAAGGACGGTGAGAAGAGCTTTGGAATAAGAATCAGAAGGTGTGACTTACAACTAGCTGTAAGACTTGTAAGTCATTTTTTCTGTCTGAATTCAGTCCTCACTAAATACTAAGTTGAATACTCTTATCTTTAAAGTCCCTTCCAACTTTAACATTTAGGAATTCAACACTGTCTTAAAACTGACAACTAAAAGTTGTCCTGGTCTCAGACATATTTGGTCCCTGAGGGATGAGGAGGAATGTACGATTCAAATTTAGTGGTTTCATAGGCGCAACAAGCTAACCAGGTCATCATGTGGTGTGACTGTTTCTAATTGTACTCTCCCCTATCCTTGTGTCATAGCTGTCACTCTCCCCTTATGACAAACTGTGACTCTCTCCTTGTGAGGTAGCTGTGATATGACAACTTATTTCATTACTCTTACAAGAGGTACTGCTTAAACACAGTACAAAATTTCCTAAATTTCCAATTCCTAAACCAAATATTTTCATCATATTGAGAATATAAGAAACAATTTAAAACAATATTTAATGTGGATTTTCAAACATGCCCGGAGTTGAAGCTGATGTAGACAGGACATCACATCTTTAAATCTTATAAGAGCGGGGAAAGGGATCATAAATCTTCACTGCTGAAAGGACTTAAAATTCCTACACTATTCATATGGCATCTCAGCAGTAGAAACATCCCCATGTAAGTTTTTACCTGGGCAGTTCATCTGTAAAGACATTTGTGAAATAGCTTTCATTTTTTGTAACCCAGAAGAAAGTATATTTTGAAAACAAAAATACTGGGCTGATTTACTGTGTGTGTTTGAGCAAAGTGGTAGTAGCTATACCAAACTTAGGGGAGGCTGAAGGCCTTTCTATTAATATTTAGCAGCGGAGGATGGCGGGAGCAGCCGGAGGGTCCTGGTTTTAGGGCGAGACAGGTCGAGTTCCAGGTCTCACACAGGAGGGTGCCTACGTCTCCCAACTGTTTCTCAGTGCAGTGAGCTAAACGCTGCGATTTTCACGTGCAGAGACACCTGTGGGGGCAGGTCAGTTATCCTGCTTCACAAACAAGGAGCACACGGAACTCTAGCAACCCGGCTTCCACGGGGGGAGCCTCTCCCCGCTATTCAGTGGAGACCCCCCATTTCCACGTCGCCAGGCCGCCTCGGGAGTCCCACGGGCCCGTCATCCAGTCGTTTGCGTACAGGCCAGGTGCGCCTGTAAACTGCAATTTTCTCGAGGCCGGAAGCAAGTACTTGCCTGTATTTGTCGGCAGCGGAGCACCCGAAATATCGGTTCCTCGGGCGCCGGGTGGCGAGTGAGCAGCGGCAGCCGCGACCTGCGGAGGGAAGGGGGCACGCGGGGCTGCGCGGCGACAGCACGGCCCCGACGTAGCAACGGCGTCAGTCTCGGGCCTGTAGGAAGAGGGGTCGGGTGGAGAAGAAAGAAGAAAGGAAAAAAGAGAGCCAGATAAGGGCAAAAAGAGAAAAGAGGGGGGTCCCCACGGCCACTGCGCGGCCCCGGCTCCTTGGCAACAACTTGGTAGCCCCGCCCCGGCGCCTGTGCGCATGCGCCCGCGAGAGCGCGGCGGCCCAGCGCGGCCCCTGTGCGCGTGCGCCCGCGAGAGCGCGGCCGGTCCCTACGCGGCGCCTGTGCGCGTGCGCCCGCGAGAGCGCGGCCGGTCCCAACGCGGCGCCTGTGCGCGTGCGCCCGCGGGAGCGCGGCGCGGGGCGCGCAGCGAGCTGGAGTTTGACGTGGCAGTCCCAGCCCGGCGGCACCTCAGCGCGCCAGGCGAGCCTGTGGGGACGCCGGCCGGGGAAGAGGCGCGGCGGGAGCTCGGGCACCCGGAGCGGCCGTGCGGGAGCGGGACCAGGTACTGCCTCGCGCAGCCGGGACGCGGCGCGGGGGCACGGCGGGAGTGGGCTGTCTGCTGTGCCACGTCAAACTTCCTCGCGCGGGGCTCCAAGTTGCCAGACCCGGCTCGGCCCCGAGCGGCGGCGACAGGGCAGAAAGCCGCTCGGCCTGGGCAGGCCTGGGGCCGACGTCTGGGAGCGGCGGTGGCGGCGCGCGCTCTCCAGCCCCTGTCACTCGGCGGCGTGGCGGTGCGGGCGGCCGGTGCCCACCTGCGGCTGGGCGGGGGACCCCGGCTTTGCGCCTTCGCCTCAGCGCGGTTAATATCGGGGGCGGGGCGGGGTGGGCGCGTCTTACCCGCCCCCACCCTGGTGCCCGGGGTGCGGAGGGGCTCGGCTGGGGTCCTCGGGAGCCGGGCGTTCCAGGGTCACTGTTGTCTCCGTATCAACTTGATTTCCTCTTTCCTGAAGGAAGGGAATGCTCGCAATATTCACAATGGAAATGGCAACTGTATCTTTAAGCTTCGGGACGTCCTGATAGTAAAACGGATCTGGCCACATCCCGACTTGTCCCGGGCAGAAGTGCGCCTGGGCTGGAGTCGGTGGTGGCAGTGGCTGGAGGGCGCGCACCGGGACCGCCACTCCCAGACTTGGGTCCCAGGCCTGCCCAGACCGAGTGACTTTCCACCCTGTCCCCACTCGAGGCCCAGCCAGGTCTCGGCAACTTGGAGCCCCGCGCGCGAGGAAGTCTGACGTGGCACAGCAGGCTCCGCGAGGAAGGATGCCCCTGGGGCCAGCCGAGGGGACCCGGCCGCTCCCTGCCCTTTGGCGTGGACATCTCTGCCTTCCTCGGGGACAGGCCTAGGTGTGATCTGCCGCCTCCCCAGATGTGCTGTGCTGTGCTGGACGAGAGGGACCAAAGCTCAGGCTGCCACGTCTGCTCTGCTTAGTGGGAGGAGGGAAAAGTGTTGTCAGGAACAAAGTGGCCAGAGGCTTTTGCCTGTCTCGCTCCCTCCTCTTTTTAATTCTCCCCGCCCAAGGTGAAGAAAGTGATCTCACAATGTTTTTACTTGGTTGCTTTAATTTTAGAAACTTATAGTTTAATATGAAAATGAAACCAAGTCATGAATTTTAGGCTTCAGATTTTAAATTTGAATGCCATTTTCTGAATACAGACAGATCTCAAGTCTTAGAAGGTGTTACCAATCTTTTACCTTAAAAGGCAGCAAATAAAACAACAAAAGGAAGAATATGCCTGGCCTGGGTGAAGAAACTGGAGAGAAATTGTAGAATCAGTGTTTTATAATCTGGAAAGGCTCTTGGAGCCTTTATTTTCTAAAGGAGGGAACTGAGAGGCCCAGAGAGGTTCTTCAGCTTATTCTGTATCACACAGTTAAGTATTGGCAGATATGGAATGAAAACCCACTTCTTCTGCCAGGATTCAGAGCATTTTCTGTTCTTGTTACAAAATGTTTTTTGAAAAAAGTCCCATGGACTGTCTCTTATTTTGTGAAAACCTGGAAAAAATGGAAAATTTAAAGCAAATTAATGTTTGGGTTCTGAGTAAAATCAAGATGGGTTTGGGTTCTGAGTAGAGTCAAGATGGGTATGTTATATTTGTGAGTGTGTGTGCCTACACACATACGAAATTACACTTTTTTTCTTAGTTCCTTAAATATAGGTGCATGTGTTCTTAGAGGTGTGATATCATTTAAATCAGAAAGAAATTCTGTCATCTTTGGCTGTGAAACTACTGACAACACTCAAATGTCTGTAGCTACCACCTGGCTAGATCAGTTATGACTCACAAAATAAATCCCTTATCAACTTTATTTTTGGCTATATTTATTGGACTATGATTTCTCTTTGTCCTAACTACCAGATTAAAATTACTAATTAGAAGAGCTCTAAAAAGACACAAATCATGAAACACCTGATTGCAGACTACTGGTAGTCGTGGTGGTCAGTCAATTGAATAGCATGGTACACTCTGTGCTGCAATGTGGCCATGGAAACCAAAAGCACAAAATAGCAGGAACACTTATGAGAGGGTACCCTTTAGGCTTCCAATGAAAAAGTGGTTGGCAGTTGTTATTCAGGTTTCATGCCTGAAAATTTGCCCAGAATTATTTAGGTGATTTACTGAGTTTCAAAGAGCTATGGTTAGATCCTTTTTAGGGGATAATGATATGATATATTACATTGTATGATATTAAGATGTCTCATGCACCTGATACTGTACTTTTACTCAAACCATCATAAACATTCATTAACAGTGTTTATATTTTTAATAGCATTGAGGGACTAAAACCCTCTTGTTGACATTTTTAAAATTTTTCTGTTGCAGAGTTCTTTTGTAGAACTATCCTTTGGAATGATATTTTCACGATGAGTCAACAAGGTTACGTAGCTACACCTTCCTATTCTCAGTCCCAGCCTGGAATAGGCCTTTCTCCCCCTCACTACGGACACTATGGGGACCCATCGCATGCAGTATCTCCACCAGGTAAAATGTGTTATTTTGACTTGTATGTGAGTATTCAGTTCTCAGTCTCAGAGACATAAGATGTTCTGGAAGAGGAACTTTTAAAGTGTTGAATGGCTGTTATATAATCCAATGGCTTGAGATTATAAGATCATTTGGAAAAGGCTCTCATAGCAGAATTCTACAGTTCAATTACTGGGTGGAATACAGGTTTGGTTTCTAACTACAGATTAAAACAAAGAAGATTTCCTGAGTGTTTTATTTTTACTGTTAGACTTGTTCTTGCTGTTAATTAGTGTTGTAAGGTTATTGTATTCAACAAAGATGAGTTTCTGTATATGTGCTAAGGTGATTGGGGCAATAATATTACAAAATCAGTTTTGAGATTGGAAAAATACTATTAGATTTGCACACTAAAGATTACTCAGTGATAATAATAAAAACATGGCCTTGAAATTATTATTAAATAATATTGGTTGCTTTAAAATATGATACTCAAGGAGGGGGCAAGGGCAATATATGTAACCTTAACATTTGTACCACCATAATATGCTGAAAAATAAATAAATAAATAATAAAATAAAATAAAATATGGTACTTAGCAGCAAATTTTGGCTTGAGAGGCAAAGGTAGGGGGAAGAGGAATAAGGGAGTGAGAACAGCTGTTGTTCTGATGGCAGCCATTGCTTTACCAATCCCTTTACCAAAGAGCTGCTCTGGGGGACCAAGCAAGCTTCAGGAGGTGGGTGAGGCTACTATTAATAATAGCTTGTTTTAGGTCTCATGGTCCCAAATATTTGGGTAAGGCAGTTCCTGGGCTTCTGAGAAAATGCTGGGAATTCCACTCAAATCCACACAATACATATATCGTGCTGTGTAAATGCTGAAGAGCAATAAGCCACTAGATACATTGAGAGAAACTGGAGAAAGATGGGTTCATTGTTCCCATAGGGTCCAAAAAAGCAAAATAGTAAATGTTATGGGGAGAATTGATCCTAGATCAATTATATATCATTATATGTAATGATAATCCATTGTGGAAATGGGCCATATATCAATCAATGAGTAACTCTCAGGGATCCCTGGGACCAGCTCAGATATCTGTGGTCCAGGCTGTGCTGGACAGCAGGCACTGGTAAAGTGCAGAGTCAGGGAGGGGAGTAAAGCCCTTTAGGGAGGCTTGACATTAGCAACTACACATAGTGTGCTGCAGAGGATGCTCTGAGGTTGTGAATTTCCTATGCAAAGTCACCCCTATGGTTTAATCTTCCCTCAGTTTTTAAAGACCTCCAGATGAGGCATCCCTCCTCTTGTTCAGGATCGATCCTCTCCATAACATTTATAATCTTGCCTTTTTGGATCCTGTAGGAACCATTGACCCATCTTTCTCTAGTTCCTCTCTAGCTGGTGATTCATTCCTCCTAAGTCAGCATTTATGATAATTATAAATGACTTTTTTTTTTGGTGCTTACCATGTATCAAAATCTGGTCCTAAAAGCTTTACATATATTGTCTTAGTTAATCCTCATACAACACTATGCAGTAGATTATTAGCGCTCTTTGCAACTAAGAAAACTGAATGTCTGGTATAATATGCCAAGTCACAGAGCTGGCATGTGGTGGAGCCAAGAAGGCAAACTCTCCCACAACCTAAGTGCCACACTGAGTAGTAGTCACCCTTCCTGCGTCTCATCACAGCCATCTTCTTGAGAAAGTACTCTTTTACCTCCCACAATGCATTTGGTCTTCCACGTCCTTTTGGAGTAGTTGTGAGGATCTGCCTTTGACTCTCCGTCCCTCAGTGTAGTTCCTACTCCGTAGTGTGCCCACATCCTCCCCTCACTTCTTGCACTAGGGTTGCCAGTGGCCTCCTATTTCTAATGAAATAGACATTGTCCTTTTTTGTATTTATTAATACCATTAATTACTGCTATCATTTTTGCAAAACTCTGTTTCGTTTCAATGACATTATCCTTTTACTGTTTTTCTTGGTTGCCTTCTGGACATTTCTTTCTGAAGGAGTCCTCCTTCCTCTACATGATCCTGATGTTGCTGTTTCTCGGATATGTTCTATCTTCACCCTTCTTCTCTCACTTTATAGATCAGTGGTCCCCTTTTTGGCACCAGGGACAGGTTTCATGGCAGACGATTTTTCTACAGAAGCGGGGGCGGGGCAGAGGAGGCGGAGCTTAGGCGGTGATGCCAGTGATGGGGAGCTGCTGTAAACACAAATGAAGCTTCACTGGCTTGCCCTCTGCTCACCTCCTGCTGTGCCGTCTGGTTCCTGAGTTTCACAGAACACGTTTTTCCACAGATGGGGGCGCGGAGCTCAGGTGGTGATGCACGGCCTGGTTCCTAACCAGGCCACGCACCAGTACCAGACACAGTCCGGGAGTTGGGGACTGCAGCTATAGATTTTTTTAAGCTGTATCATTTCACCTGGAGTGCTTGTCCTTCAAATCTATTCTTCTAGCCCAAGCTCCAGACCCATATTACCAGAGGCCCTCCTGTTTACTCAGCACCTCAGAGTCATCATGTCCAAAACAGTTCAGTGTTCTTTCATAGAAGCCTGTTTTTCTGGCATTCACTATTCACTCAGCAGCATCATTTATTTAGTGATACATACCAGAAACTTTCACCATTTTTTTAAAAAAAAACTCAGCCTTTTACCTGTTCCAACACAATTGGTCTCTCAAATCCTTTTAGAGTAATTGTAGGCATCTTCCCCATCTGCTGCTGCTTTTCCGTTTTCCTTTCACTCTTTCTGTGCAATCTGTCTATCTCTCACCTAGATTACTAACATGGCCTCTGAACCCTTATCCCTCTCTCCAATATTGCCTTCTTCCATGCTATCAACTCTTGAGCCAGTGGGATTTTTTATAGCAAGCAAATCTATTATGTACTTTTTCTTTTATAAAGGCTTTGTAAAGGTTTCCAAAGGAAACATTTCATAAAGGCTGAAAACCTTTTATGGCTTTCCATTGCCCCTATTTATATTTTTAAGCTCTTTAGCCTTCATTATTTTACACATTTTCCTGTTTTCAGTTCATCTGCCCCACTCCCATGTCCATTACTC